TTAGATTTTTTTAGTAATTGTCCATTAATTGAATTAATTTTATTTAATCTTTTATTTTTACAACAACAAAGTCAAAACTAAGACATTTTTAAAAGAACTGAAATCTAAAAAACTGAAGTATTTTGGGAGGCTATGAAATCTTTATCTATTTGGTTTATCACACTGAGAGTAGAGAGGTCAGCGCTTGGAGCTTAGGTTAGGTCATTATCTGGTGAAGAGTCATAGATAAGAAAAAAATCCAGCTGAGTGTATTTTGAACTCAACCAAAACACATACCTTGATTTGTATATTATTAGTAATCTGGAAAAATCATACTGCAAACAAACCCTTCATTCTCTAACTGTACTGCCTTTTTGTTGAACTGTCTTGTTGAGCCTTTTTTTTTCCTGTCAGCAACTAAACAAGGCATATATTTCTTCTCTATAGAAGCAGTTTGGTGTAGTGCAGTTGTCCCTTCTCATTGTCCTTTCTGTGTTTCTGTACAACTTAAGAATATTACAACCCTGAGAAACAAAATATTAGCTACCAGTTTATTGTGTGATCTCAGACAAATTGTTCAAGCACCCCCTCAGAAACACAGAACAACAGAGGATTCACATATATTTTTCCTAGGCACACAGATGGCCTAGTGACTGAATTTTGCCTTATGGTGTCCAAAGAATGAGTTACATTACAATTATCTTGATTCACAAATTGCCTTTAGGAGGAAACGTCATTGTAAAGGATACATTATGCAGATTTTTCTATAGAACAAGAACAACGAGTTTATAATGTGCACTGGACTCCATTTTTTCTTTTACATAGAAAAAGAATCCCTGAGACAGCAACAATACATCTCTGAGCTAACTGGGTATAACTAAAAACTCTTATTTGATATTCCCGTTATATTTTTATCTGGCACTTCTACCTGCTGAAATTCTAGGCAGAGCCTGTAGTTGCAGATATCATTGCAGGTAACAGAGTGAAAAACATAGCTTTTGTTCACAAAGAGAATTTTAACCTTCTTGTTACTGTAAGAAAACTTTTTTTTTTTTTTTTTGCAAGTGATCGCTAATGAGAGCCATGACTTTTGACAGTTCATCTTAGTTTGGTAATTGCAATTCTGCAGGCTATTGATTTCTAAGCATTCAATAAGCAATTTTTAGAGAAAGAATTGTGTGGATTTTGTTCACTCGTATATGGAATATTTCTTCTGGCTTTGCAAGTTATAAATAGCAAAGTAATTTTCACTGAAGAACTGGTTATGTTTTTTTTCTTGACTGTGTTTTGGATATGTACCCAGTAATATACACTAAATCACATTGAACAGGTTTTGAATAAGTTTGCATGATCAATCCTGCGTAAGTGAAAACTGAAAAAAAAAAAAATTAAATAACAGCAGGATTTGATATTCCAGTAGCAATGAAATGATATTTTCTGATTAAAAAGTTCTTTATTTTTGGCCAGGATCTTCAGTGAAATGAAGAATGTGTTCCAATTGAGTATTTAAAATACCTAAGTACTCTGTAAAGTACTTTGCAATATACAGTGATATGAATCTGTTGTTTTCTGCACCTCTATGAATATAATTTCCGGAATGGAAACATTTCTAAATCTAAGCCTCTGTTTACTCAGAGAAATGTAGTATAGTTTCAAATTGTATTTCATACTACTTTTTTTATTTTTTCCTTTGATTTATTCAGGATATGGTTTAACTACTGGTGTTTGTGTTGCTGGTTTCAAATGTTTGCAACTTAAAAGTGACAGTTTTACTAACTACTTAACAAGACCGATACAGGTAGCTAAATTTGTATGTGAGGTCCTCTTTTTTTCCTGGCATTTTCTCTTTAACTCCTTAGCAGCATTACTATGAGATAAAGGTTTTCATTTCTTTATTTTTGTTGAAATCAATGTGCTTTTTCTAGTAAAAGAGGAGCACTGTGGAGTCAGATGTTGTAGATTCTCTAAGTTTTTATTTCACTTTACACTATTTTAAGATCTGTAAAGGCTCAAAGACTGGATTTTCTCAACATCTTTGGGCTCTTTTTAAAGCATTTCTCTTTTGAGGGTGAAAAGTTGTTCTTAACATTGAAAATTAGTCTATACAAACTTCCTAAGGTGAATTGTTTCCTTTTTTTTTTAAAGACTCAGGGAATTTTCAGTCAAATTTGTGTCAGGAGTTGCTGCTGAATGCAATCAACAAGCATCTCACTGCATGTGGGGCCCAGTTTCCCTGCACCTAGACAAAAACAATATATGCAAAAAGAAAATGTGATTTTCATATCTCTAATTAGCCCTAAGTACCTATGCATGCCTTTTCACAAACTGGTAGAAAATAAATGGTATTTGCTTTAACTAATTCCTACTTGAACAAGGTCCTATCTACATTTAAAGCATTGATTATGCAGACAGAGCTTTTGTAATAAACAGAGGTAGCTCCTGAATAGGATTAGTAGCAGGCTTTTTATCTGGGCTTTCTTAGACAATAAATAAAAGATTAACTTATTGTCTTCTACTAAGCTTATTGCTTGCTATTTTTCAGGATAATAATTTAAAATATGCTGGCCCTTTGGGGGCTTGCTTTTGAGCAGTCATTTACTGACTTGCTAAGTGACAGATATACTGAGTTAGACAGTAGAAAGTCTTGTTTGTAAATGGCAAACAGGAAAGAGGGCAAAATTTGTGGCAAACACTATCTAACAATTCAAGAGCAAAATAGACTAAGCTCATTGCAGCCCAATCTCACTTTGTAAGACTAGCGTAAATTCAGTCAGGGTACTTCTCTTTTTCTGACCTGGAAAAGACAGCATTTTGAATAGCCAAAAAGAGTCAGGACTAGCATCCTATCTGTTCAAATGTAAACTGACTTAGACCTACTTTCTGAATTAACAAACAATATGAACCCATTAAATCTGCTCATTCCTGTTATTTTCCTTTCTCAAAATTGCTGTTGTTGTCACTTCTAGATTCCCCAGGGCAGAGGAAGAAATGTGTCTGTTTAACCCTAGCAACCTCATTTATTAGGAACTGATTTATTTCTTTTAAGTTACTTGTCATTCTAATTCTTCAGCAACAAAACTAAAGTTTGAGTAGGGCTACAGTCAAAGTGAAGAGAAAGAAAGAAAGAAGGAAGAAAGGAAAGAAAGAAAGAGAGAAAGAAAGAAAAAGAGAGAAAAAAAGAAAAAGAAAGAAAGAAAGAAAAGAGGAAGAGAAAAGAAGCTGAAATACCTACCCACTACCCATTCTAATGAGCTTAGCTCTATCATTAGAGTTTTTTTTGGGAAAGCATTTGTTGATCAACCAAAGACATGAGAATAAATTTGGATTTCTGATCAACACGTGTGGCAGTCCAGGTTAGAGAGGAACACACAAGCAGATTATGCCACTCACAGAATCAATGTTTGTTTGATCTGTTAGGGGGAGATATCTGGCACAAATCACTTAACAGTATAACAAGATTAACTATAACAGAATTAAGGAAATGTTTCTTTCTGAATCACCACTTCGTAACTGTTTCTGTTGAGGAATCAGGTTTAATAACATTTTGCCAGTTCAGTTTCCTATAGACAGGCTCACACATAAGCTTTGCAGCATAAAAATTAATTTAAACCAATTGATGACTTTTCGGGATCCAACTTAATGTTATGAAAGTAAATTTACGTCTTTTAAATGAAGTTTAAATAAAGTGAAATTACTTAATTTTAAATGATAACTCATTAAGTTGAATTATTACCTGTATATGGCACTTAATAGCTGGTGGGATGAGATCCTAAAGTAACTGTGTCAGTTCCCTGTGAAATTATCTGCATGCCACCTTCAATTATGCAGGCTTCCAGATACTTTAAAGGAATGCTGTGAAGCCTAGAGATTACTGTGACAGAAAGATGGAGTAGCCTTTCCTCCTTAAACCTATTGAGCCTCATACAATGACTGTGGAACACTTTTGGACAAAAAATAATTCAAAAGTAAATCACAAGCATATCTCAACATTTCTTTTAAAGTTTTTTTTTATAACTGCATTTAATTTTAATAGCTGACTTTTAAGAATTTAATTTTTTTCCAGCGCCAGGAGTTTAGACTGCATTATCTTATGGATCTTTCAATATCATTCTGCAAATATAGTACTTACTGAATTCAAACCTTATATAATGAAACTGTTGTATTATTACTATAAATAATCAACATTTCTTATGTGCTCCTTAATATTTACCTTTCAATAGAATATATATAGAATGAGTTTGGTTTGAATTAATTTATAATATTGTTTCATATGCTGGACTAAAATATGTCTTCTATTGCTCTTCTATTGATTATGTAAACTGTTTTCTATATATCTAGTTGAAGAAAAAAATAATCAGCTTCATCTTGAAATCCTTAATTTTCAGCACTACAAGTTACACATATATCTATATATATATATATATATAAAATCTTACAGCATTAATTTGAAACTATCTCATTGCTTATTTTTAAAAGTTGTTGTGAATAATTTGGAAATCTCGTATTAGCTAGACCTGGCACTTTTTCTTATTTTCCAGTACAACACTGCACTGAGTAACTTTGAACTAGGAATAGATGGCTATATAATGAAAAAAAATTACATTTTCTCCTGGTTTTCTTTTCTTCTTTTTTTTTTTTTTTTCTAATAGAGACTTCATTATTTTTGCAGGCTAAATTTACTTTCTTTTAATGAGCCTTTCGGTTGAAAAGTAGCTATGTCATTTATTGTTGTGGAAATAATCACAATTCATTACAAATTAAATCAATTAGAATTTTATTTTTCTTTCCCACAGGATGTAAAATGAATGTGAATTTGAGAAAGTAAACTAGAGTAGGCCCTCTTAGAAACAGTGGAAAGATAGGATTGCTTTTTCCATTTCTCTCCCAATGCAGTAAGATTTTTGTGCTTCTGGCGATGAGAACAGGGAAAGGATGCACTGACTACTTGTATCAGATTGTAGAAGCCTGTGATGAAGCCTGGTTACATCTTATCAATGTGGAGTTTCTCTTGTGATTTACAGACTGTCAGGAGCCAGCCACTCCTTGCCATCCCACTGTGACATGGATTCGTGTAGCTCCGAGGAATTCTACCAGGCTGTTCACCATGCGGAGCAAACCTTCAGAAAGATGGAGAGCTACTTGAAGCAGCAGCAGCTCTGTGACGTTATCCTGATTGCTGGGGACCGCAAGATACCTGCACATAGGTAGGAAATAAGCATAAAATATGGAAGTTACAAAAGTAAATGTTTTGGCTATGTGTATTTGTTAGAACAGTGTTTTTTATTGCCCCTTATACCTGCTTCCATCTTGCTTTAGACACAACTATAAGGGCTGCAAAAGATGTATTTGAAGGCTGGGGTTTTGAAGATGAGGGGGTTTTGTACATATTCCAAACATTCAAGTAGCACTCAACTAGCAGAGCGATTGTGAGTGTGACAGACAATTCTCCCTGCTGTGATTCTGTCCATATGTGAGGAGAATGGAAATTTCTGAAATGAAATGCTGTATAGGTACACTGAACATTGTATAATTTCTAGTTTAAGATCCTGATACTCTGATAAGTCTATTGTACAGAGTTTCTCAGACACTTATAGAGGAATACTGAAGGCTTTCTCCTATGACCTGTACTTTTCAATGAACTGAAAAACGTATAATTTTTGATATAAAAATATAATTACATTATCATTTATAAAATTCTATACGATTATGTGATATTAAAGCAAGCCAGCATATATGAAACTATGCTTAGTTTTAGATAAAAATTAGAGTTTAAAATGGTTACTCTTCACTGAGATTTTGGTCTTAGCGATAGGCTTTGATGCAAATGCAAATAAAAATCAAATCCTAGGGTTTCGATTAAAATACAGAGAATAATTTAGAATTTTCAGGTGAGCAAGTATTTTTGCATCTGAACTGTGCATAAGGTTGCAAACCAAGGGTGATCTATTTCCCACTTGTGTCCTGATTTCTCTGCTGAGATACCAAATTCAGAGCAGGACTATGATTTCCCAGCAGAAAATCAGAAAAACAGCCAATGGATTCCTGAACTCAGGAATCCCTAAGTGAATATAGACACGGAGACTATTCCCGTTTAACAAAAAACATTGGATATTTTATGTTCCCATAGCAATAAGTAAAAAAAAAAAATGTGTGATATGCAAGACTGGAAAGCCAAAGTTATTGTCCAAATGCTAAAAAGTAAAACAAGACAGAAACCATTAAAATATTCAAATTACCCCAATAATTATAATAAATGGAAGCATAACTCCACTTAACAAGCAGTAACAGATTGATCTATGTAGTTTGCAGCACACATGGAATGGAGTCCCTTTCAGATTAGTAGCTGTAATAGATATAGAAATGTTTCTCTTCTTCTTTCAGCAATTTTCATTCTTAAGACTTTGTTTCTAGTCTTTTATCTTCTAAGAGCTGCCATTTCTCCTGTTCCTCCCTTACCTGGATGTATTCAGGTTTCCGTTAGGTCCTTAGTAATTTCTACCCAGCGACCTGGCACCTGATCCAGCTTCTGTGTTCCAGGCTTTTTACCACTGTTAAATGTATTATGCATCTAGCACCTTTTGCACCCCTGGTAGCTGTGGTCTGATGCTATTTTCATCTAAATTGCCAAGATCTTTCCTTTATGGGTATATCAAGTACAGATGTAATAACATTAAACTTCAGTCCTATCCATCTGCATTTATATTGTTCCTACAAGAGCTACAAGATTTGCCTTAAGGTGCCTACCATCACAAAGAAAACTGTAGGAATAATAACCTAAGGCCTTCTAATTTGTGTCCAGTTTTACATTCCTATATATTACTGAAATAAATCTTTTTTTTTTTCAGAAATAATGGGAATTTTATTGTTCCTTCTTAGCAGTTACCAGTCCAATTTTTTCTTTTCACATTTTTCAACACATATAAGGTGAAAAAGCAAAATAAATGACTGAATCTACATTCTTAAAATGACACAAAAATACTTATTAGATCCATATAAATATTCCATAATTGGTATCATTCAGCCTGTTTCATATGGACGGTACAAAATATACATTTTTTACCAGTATACTTTTTGCCTATTTTAGTTATTTTGGCAACCTGCATAGTTTGTAGAGTAGGAGACAGAGGAAAATGTAAGTTGTTTGGGTTTTTTTAATTAGTTTAGTTCAGTTCCCCCACTATTTTTAATACAGGTGTTCATATTTGTATGCCCACCTTTCAGCAGTAAATTTAATTTCACATTTGTCATTTCAATTCTACAGTATATGTAAATCAGTCTTGAGCTGGAAAAATACCCTAATAACAAGACTGAACATGAAATAATAGTCAGAGTCTTATTTAGATTTTCTAATAAACCTTCAGAGACCTTTACATTTAATTTTCTGCTTCTCAGTGGTCTGCAGCTGAAAGTCCAAATCTCGAAGAACTGGAAAAGTCAACTGTTGAATTCTGTAGAATTGATAAGATAAAATGAGGTGAAGAGTATTCTGAATTTTCCTTCTATTTTTATTTTTAACAGTGTTTATTCTATGTTGTTTTAGACACATGTGGCTGGACAAGCACAGAGAGGTGCTTATTTTTACTGTGGCTGTTAAAAAGCTAGAAATTACAGATTCAATCCTCCCTGTTCAAAGCAGGATCAACTACAAGGTTAGATTAGACCATTGAGGTCATAATAATAATAATGGCCCATCTTCGTGAACGAAGATTTGGGGAAAGGTCTTTTACCTTTCCAGCCTGCGCAATGGATTTTTTAGGTGAGACACAGCCTGCGCTGAACTGAGCCCACCCTTTAATCCTAAGGTTCATCTGCCGGGGCCAAGCAAGCTTGGACAATGGCAGTGAGGTCCTCAGGACGTAGGTTTGTTTAGAGTGTCCTTCTCATAGATGGATGGCCTCACAGGGCTAACGGGTTCCATCTGCCCGGGAGGGACTGGGAATCGAACCTGGGTCGCAGCGGTGATACCCGGTTAGTTTTTAATATCATCACTTGCAGAGGTTACTCTCTTCTTAACTTGTTCCAGTTTTTTTATTATTCTCACTGTTTTTAGTGATCCAGCACGTGGCATCTAGGCAAATTTGCTCCATGATCTTGGTGAGGCAAACCAGTCTATAGGTGTCTACATCTTTCTTTTTGAGGATGGACATGGAAATTGACTTTTCCAGTCAATTTCAAACCTGCAATTGTCTGATCCGTTAAAGATAAGAGAGAGTGGCCTTTCAGTGACATTGTAGATCTTCCTCTAACATTACGCCTTGAACTTATTCTCTCTGCTCCAAGGACTTATATATGTCCAATTCACTTAACTGCAGCCTAAGGACATCTTCCTGTGTTATGAGTTATACCCTCCGCAGAACCTGCCACTGGGAGGTTTGTTTTTTTTTTTCGTTTTTCACTTACTCCCTTTTTGCGTTTGACTTTCATCAGGAGTCACTTTGGAAGTCCAGGCTTGTAATTTGCTCTTCATTTTACAAACTTTTCTCAGGATCCATTGTCTTAAATTTCATTGTCTCAAATTTCATTGTCTCATGGTCACTGCAGCCAAGTTTGCCAACATATTTCACAGGTTCTTTCTTTTCTCTCTCCAGATCTGTCAGCAGCAGATCCAGTAAAGTACCTCCTCTAATTAGACATCCAGTAAAGTACCTCCTCTAATTAAAGATTTTGCGATTTAGGCTAGATAATATATACTTTGCATTCCTTAGAACATATAAAAAACCTGCTTGCAGAGGACAATGCATAACTGGTATTTGTGGAGTTTTTAAATGTGATACTTATCATAAAATCATAGAATCAGCCAGGTTGGAAGAGACTTCTGAGATCATCAAGTCCAACCCTTATCCACTACCACCGTGGTTACTAGACCATGGCACTAAGTGCCACATCCAGTCTCATCTTAAAAACCTCCAGGGACAGAGAATCCACCACTTCCCTGGGTAGCCCATTCCAATGTTTGATTACCCTCTCTGTAAAAAATTTCTCCTAATATCTAACCTAAACCTCCCCTGGCAGAGCTGAAGGCCATGCCCTCTTGTCTTACTGATAGCTGCTGGGGAGAAGAGACCAACCCCCACCTGGCTACAACCTCCTTTTCAGGTAGTTGTAGAGAGTGATGAGGTCTTTCTTGAGCCTCTCTTCTCCAGGCTGAACAGCCCCAGCTCCCTCAGCCTCTCCTCACAGGACTTGTGCTCAAGTCCCTTCACCAGCCTTGTTGCTCTTCTCTGGACCTGCTCCAGCACCTCAATATCCTTCCTGAACTGAGGGGCCCAGAACTGGACACAGTACTCGAGGTGTGGCCTCACCAGCGCTGAGTACAGGGGAAGAATCACTTCCCTGGTCCTGCTGGCCACACTGTTCCTGATCCAGGCCAGGATGCCACTGGCCTTCTTGGCCACCTGGGCACACTGCTGGCTCATGTTCAGCTTCCTGTTGATCCAAACTCCCAGGTCCCTTTCTGCCTGGCTGCTCTCCAGCCACTCTGTCCCCAGCCTGTAGTGCTGCATGGGGTTATTGTGGCCAAAGTGGAGGACCCGACACTTGGCCTTGTTGAACCTCATCCCATTGGAATCAGACCATCTCTCCAGCTTGTCCAGGTCCCTCTGAAGAGCCCTTCTGCCTTCCAGCAGATACACTTTCCCCCCCAACTTGGTATCATCTGCAAATTTGCTAATGGTACACTCAAGGCCCTTACCCAGATCATCAATAAAGATATTAAACAGGACTGGGCCCAACACTGATCCCTGGGGGACACCACCAGTGACCGACCGCCAGCTAGATGCAGCACCTTTCACCACCACTCTCTGGGTCCAGCCCTCCAGCCAGTTCCTAACCCAGCACAGAGTGCCCCTGTCCAAACCGTGGGCTGCCAGCTTTTTCAGGAGTATGCTGTGGGAGATGGTGTCAAAGGCTTTGCTGAAGTCCTGATACACCACATCCACAGCCTTCCCCTCATCCACCAGGCCAGTCACCTGTTCATAAAAGGAGATCATGTTGGTCAGACAGGACCTGCCCTTCGTAAACCTGTGCTGGCTGGGTCTGATCCCTTGTCCATCCTATAGATGCTGTGTGATTGCACTGAGGATGATCTGCTCCATAACCTTGCCAGGCACTGAGGTCAGGCTGATGGGCCTGTAGTTTCACGATAGGTAGGAATTTGGTAGAACATCTACTGTATAAGTTTATAAAATCTTATCTGAGATAAAAT